GGTAACACTTTACTTGAAGGGGTGTGCATAAGACTGACATGACACCTTCATAATCATGACATGACACATGTCATGAATATGAAGGAGGTTTTATGCATGTTTATGACAACTGTCATTAAGTGTCATTCGCTCAGTTATGTCATTTTTAATGCAAATATGACATTATTTGACCTAACCCTATCCCTACCCTTACCCCTAACCATAGCCCATAACAAAGACATCTCAAACAATGTCATCTTTGCATTAAAAATGACACAACTGAGCGAATGACACTTAATGACAGTTGTCATAAATATGCATAAAAACCCTTCACATTCATGACCTGTGTCATGTCATGATTATGAAGGTGTCATGTCAGTCTTATGCACACCCCTTCAAGTAAAGTGTAACCAAAATGTTTAATGTTTTTTTTTAATAAGTAGTCTCTTATTCTCATTAAGACTGCATTTATTAAATAAAAAATAAATAAAAAAACAGTAATATTGTGAAATGTTTTACAGTTTTAAAGAACTGTTTTCAGTTTGATTGTATATTTAAAATGTAATTATTTCTGTGAATGCAATGATGAGTCTTCATTACTTCAATCTTCAGTGTCACATGATCCTTCAGACATCATGGGTTTGCTGCTCAAGAAATATTCTTTGTATTGTTCGTTTTGTTAACAATGCTGAAAACGGAGCACAACTGTTTTCAGCATTGTTAATAATAAGAACAATGCAACATTTTTCTTAATATTTGAATGTTTCTTTTTTGTGGAAAATGTGATACACTACCATTCAAAAGTGTGGTGTAAGAAAGATAGTTTTTTATAAAGAAAATAAATGAATACTCATGTGACAGTAAAGACATTTATAATATTACGTAAGGTTTCCATTTCAAATGAACACTGTTCTTTTGAACTTTATATTCATCAAGTAATCCTAAATGTTTTCTATAAAAATATTAAACAGAACAAATTGTTTTCAACATTGATACTAATAATAAGAATCATAATATGATTTCTATATTCATTTATTGAAATTAATTATATTAATTTTGATGAATTATTCTAATAATAATTGATACAATTTGAGCAGCAAATGAGATATGAATATGCATATATTGAATATGCATTTGTAGGAGTTTCCCTTTCAGACGCTAAATTTATGGGAGGAGAGTATTGAATCACGTGTTGCATAACGTTTGCGCTTGTCAAATTGCTGGAATTTGCGCCATTATTTAATGCGCCAAAAAAGCATGTCTTAAAGCAGATGCAAATTTGTGCTGCTCTTGGTAGACTGTGTTGGTCATTATGGAAATGTGTCTGTGTTCTTTAATT